TTATATTATATTATATTATATTATATTATATTATATTATATTATATTATAATTATATTTATAATTATAATTATAATTATATTATCGTGTCATTCACTAATTTGTGCGCGCACTGCACACCGTTTGATGTCGTAATGATGCTCAATGATCTTATGATGAAGATGTATGTGCATTAAAAGGGAATTAAAAGGGAGTAAAGGGAATACATATGACGTTAGGTTTATACTCTATCGTAAGTTTAATATTTTGGCATACAGATTGTAAAACATCGTAATAGCTGTACTTTACAAAAAAATAGATTAAAAAAATAGATCAGTGGGCCTATCGGTAGTACTGGAAATTCTCTAAATTAGAAATATGTAAATAAATTAATAAATTAATTAACAAATAAATTTAAGTACATTATTTATAATATAAGTATAATATTTCGGCATGCAGATTGGACAGCTCGTTAATCGCTATAGAAAGTGGCAAAAATCAAGAATGAACAAAGCAGTGATTCGAATAAAAGCAACAATGAGCGCCATAAGATAATAAAAATTGCACCATTAATCGGCGATATTTCGGGATTAAAAAATTATCAATCAGATGGATTACTATTGCAATTCGTTTTAATTTTTAAAGGATACGAATTTTATGAATATTTTTTACCTTCGTTTCATATTTTCAACCTCTTTTTTGATAAATAAATGCGACTCATCGATACTTTGAAAATATTTTCACCAAATCATTCGATTAATTGAAAACCTCGATTAATTTTCTTTCGCTGAATATAAAATAATTTTTTCTTGTATTGTAGTTTCTGAAAGAGATTATGTGCATGTCACCTAAGTGTAAACATGCACCAAAGCTTTTTTAGTTACATGCCATTTTGATTTAAAAGCCATCCACAATAACACAGGAACAAAATTGCTTGAATTTGACTGATTCGGCAATGCTCGCCTTACTTCTTCTTTGCTTCACTGCTGATTTATCTTTGCAGCAGCAACCACTGGTACAGCTTGCTAACGAAAATTTCGTTATAGAATACGATATAATTAATGGTCGTTCTACTGTGCGCTATTATAATCTTCAAGGTTCAAGTGCAGGTACTTCGATTTTTTTAAAAGAATGCTCACCATTAATGGTTAGACTCACTCCGTTGTCTTACTGCGCTAGGCAAATATACCAATGAGTCCCTTGACAATGGAAGTACAAATAATTCACTTTAAGATGGAAATAGTTGATTCGCGAGAACCACTCGAATTTTTTACCGTTTGCTTTTAATTGAGACAAAGCTCAAAAATTCCGAATAATGGCATATAAAAGTGCTAAATCGCAATAATTGCAGATAAAAGTTCACACCTGAAATTATTCTATTGAGTTAATTTATTCTAACCTGGTAAATGACTCCGTACTCAATTCAAATTAAAGCACTATTGCAGACTGTACTAGCGATGCTCAGTGCAGAGTATTTGAACATTGTTTCCTTAATAAATGTGTAAGGGACACAAGAGGTATGTTGTTTTGTTGTTATACTTTTATAATAATATTACTCTTTATTTTTCATTCCCGCTCATTTAAAATAAGAAAGCGTATATTTACCACTTTTAAGCTTGTCCCGGTTCTACTTGTCCAGCAGGAATGGTTTGCGTTAATGGACAATGTCTTCCGGACCCTCTAATAGCAACACCAAGACCAGGTGCTGGAGGTTTTTTTTTCTGCGAGATTGCAATAGCTGTTGTGCTCTTTGCAATTTTTTTATTGTATATTTTTTTTTAAATCAAATTACATGAAAATGAGTTGATTGAAGCGCTTGCTTTCTTATTAAACACTCGTAGACAGTTTGTTTTATATGGTCGATTTATAAAAAATTTTCTTTTAGGATGTCCCTCTCCATGGATGCTTAATGAACAGTTTAATGCATGCTATTATGTTGTAGGTTTTTTCATAAAATTTTATATCAAATTTTTCTTACTTCAATCCTTCTTCATTTGTTTATCATATGAGTCTTCAGGGTCGTAGTTCATACAATTTCTTCACAGCTAGCGCAGAATGCCGTAGGCTTGGTGGGACAGTTACATCGATCGGTTCAATTGCAGAAATGACTTATGTAAATGGTAAGTTTATGTAAGTTTATGTATGTAAATGGTAAATGGTATCTTCTTACCATTTCTCCATTTTCCAAATTGTTGAGCAAATTCAACAAACCATTTTTTTAGGCCTGGTCGGCGCTGCTGCATATTGGATTGGATATCATCGTACAGGCTTCTCTTCGAATTGGGAAGATGGATCGCCTGTAGTCTTTACGAATTATAGACGAGGGCAGCCAGATGGATGTTGTGGTGGTGCCGGATGTGTGGGACAGTTACATCGATCGGTTCAATTGCAGAAATGACTTATGTAAATGGTAAGTTTATGTAAGTTTATGTATGTAAATGGTAAATGGTATCTTCTTATCATTTCTCCATTTTCCAAATTGTTGGGCAAATTCAATACACCATTTTTTTAGGCCTGGTCGGCGCTGCTGCATATTGGATCGGATATCATCGTACAGGCTTCGCTTCGAATTGGGAAGATGGATCGCCTGTAGTCTTTACGAATTATAGACGAGGGCAGCCAGATGGATGTTGTGGTGGTGCCGGATGTACGCTAGTTAATTACAGAGGTAATATGGGAGAATGGGATGATGCTGGATGCCACATAATATGGCGTATACCAACTTATGTCGTTTGTAAGAGACCGCTTTAGTGATGAAATTCGTATTTTCATATTTCGTAAATCATAATTATGTTATAAGAGATAAAAATTAAGTCTTATCAATTGTTGAATCTCAAGCATATTTTAAGGCTGCAATAAGACTGTTAAATTTCATACAATCAGTATTTTCATAATGAATTTTCGTCTCAACAATCGTAAAAAATCGTGAATCTAAATATTAGATAAGCTTTGATAATCGGATTCCGAGCAACTGCGTTTCACTTGTAATAGAAAAACTACTTTCGATAAAAATAAAGCTGTGAACTGTAAACTATAAACTATTTCTGAAGCTACTTCTATTTCATACTTGCATCTATCGTTCATTTCACAACAATTAGAATTTTGATAAATTCCGTCCATTTGTTTCAAAACGCTCTCAGTTTGCTGAATCTGAATTTTAAAATAATGCTAGACGAGCAGAACAACGGAAATAGTAGTCCAACTGGCAATGATATCTGGCTAAAAAAGAAACTGCAATAGTGTTTTACAAAGGCCAAAGGGTTGAAATTATTTGGTCTATAGCGCATGAAAAGAGGACAAAGCGAAAGAATGAAATCTTATGACTGATTGTGTATAAGTAAATGATTAAGCGATTAGTGCCATTTCGCTGTGGTAAGGCTCGCTCCATTTTTTGTTGGTACCTGAGAAATTCCTGTTCATGAACGGTTGGAAATAAAAATATAAACGAATTTTTAATGTTAGATTTGTTCGACGTGCTCATGCTCCATGATCCATGCTCGCCCTAAAGAAAAATTCTATCGTGCCAATAATTAATTAGAAAATATTAACTTATATCCCAACATGTTGGCTACTAAGTAAGTGAACAAATAAGTTTTAGAGGTATAATATTTTTATCAATGAGCTAAACAATTCTGAGAACAATTTTATATCAAATTTCGTTTAAAACCTAATATTTGAGAGAAATGAGTAGAAACCACGCCATTAATAGGCAATTTAGCCGAGTAACATGAAAGAAAAAGCCATGGGGTTAGCTTTAATTCAGCGGTTATATTGAGAGAACAATATTAAAAACTATTAAAATGAGCGTCAAAAAAATATATATTGTAGAAATTTATCAACTTAGAGATTTTGTGAACCTTTTCATTATGAGTTGATATGAGATGAGTTTCATAGCTGATCTTATCACATCTGAGTATAATACTTCAGAAAACTGGTTTCATAATAAGAGCCATGGTGCGAATTATTGGAAATTCAGAGTCAGAATCACTCTTCTTAGATAAGTTTTCTCTTTTAATTCGACTATTCCAGCAATATAACCTTAAAAATTGAAAGCATATCAAATTTCAGCTGTAAATCAGCTACTACAAAACCTATTCGGAAAGGTTCACGAGATAGTTTTACTCGAATATCTGTGTCGCTAAGATATTCTTCTATAATATCACTTCTGGTTTGACTAGTTATTAATGTGAAAATCCTTCGCCAATAAGCCATTTATGAATATAAGTTTCCTAAAATCAACCAGAGTGCTCATTCGAATTAATGCCAAGTCGACCAAGTTGCCCCAACTAGATTGCTGTATATTTTTAAAAATTCCATCTAAAATTAAAGTGGAAATTTTGCTTGCAACAACATTTTATTTGTTATTTCAATCATTTCAGAAATATTTTTTATTCAAAAGTGTTCATATATTGCTCGTAAGGTTTTTTTCGATTTTTTTGAAAACTTTTACACTATTTCTTAGAAATTGTTTGAAATTTATGGGTGTAAAGATTAGACTGGGTTCAATTATCGCAGAATCACGCAAAAAACTGCATTTGCCAGAAATGCCAGAAAAATGGTGGAACTATCGCTTTTGCGTAATGAAAAGGACAAATGGATTTTATAAGTAATTAACAGTCGAAATTCTAATTTGGAAATTTTTTATTCCATATTTCATTTGTGGCAATGAAAGCCTTTTTGGCAATATTAACGTGGTGATTTGCTTGTTACAGCCGTGCGCCGCTATATTCGTAGGCACCACGGGTCGCTAATTCGAACTTCCTTTTTCGCTTTGCAATTTTGCTATTGGAATGTAGTCGCGATAACTTTTTAATAACTATTCTTCTTCTAACAGTTCCCACCATTGCTGGTTATGCTGGCACAAAAGCAGGACGTCTCCAAGCTGCCTAATCCGACGCCATCGCTAATAATAATAGAAGGCATTCCTTTTTCCATCGTTTAAGTCCATATATCGCTAATCCCTCTGTGTTAAATCATATTTATAATAATCTCCCCCTATGTTAAATCATATTTATAATAATATCCCTCTATGTTAAATCATATCAAGCAGAATCTAAAGATGATGAGAATTTTAATAAACAAAAAATTATAAGAAATAATATGACAAGATTTGGAACTGCTCGCCCAGAAATTAATGAATCAAAACTTTGTGTAATACTTTAAATCTATCGTTGTCCGCTTAGAACGACGCTTCAGCTAAATTCTCTAAATTTAAGGACTAAATAATATTAAAGATTTTGTGGTGATAACGAATGTAGTCCTTTTTACTGACAGTTATAACGAAATGCAAATACTAAATAACGTGTCAGAAACTGCAGCAAGAATCGGACTCAGGATCAATGTAAATAAAACGAAAGTCTTTTGTCTTATGTGCAAGAAACTGATAAAATGCCTCTTTTTGTAAATTCATTGCCGGTTGAGGAAGTGCTTGATTTTAAATACCTTGGGTACACTCTAATACCAAATGGATTGGCAAAAGATGATATTACAACCCGGATCACGGCAGTTAGAAATGCATTCTTCCGGTTGACGAAACCATTATGGAATCGTCGTGAAATCACGATAAAAACGAAAGTCGGCATCTATATAGCCCTGATCCGTTCGATCTTACTATATTGTTCTGAGACATGGCCAATGAGAGTGGAGGATATTAAGAAGTTATCTGCCTTTGACCACTCTTGTCTAAGGTATATTTTACGGGTTCGCCAAGTGGATAAAATCTCACAAGATCGCATCCACCTTCGTTCAAATATCACTTATCAGAAATTGCAGCAAGAATCGGACTCAGGATCAATGTAAATAAAATGAAAATCTTTTGTCTTATTTGCAAGAAGCTAATAAAATGCCTCTTTTTGTAAATTCATTGCCGGCATAAATAATGTTATCACAGAACGTCGCCTTCGCTGGTTAGGGTACATTCTCCGTCGTCCATCACAGGAGTTGACGCATATATCGTTATTTGCTAAACCGTGTGACGGTTGGCGTCAAAAGCGAGGTGGGCCAATCAAGACCTGGACTGATACGGTGAGAAAAGATTTTGAACGTATAGGTGGACGAATAATATATGGACTTATAGACGATAGAAAAAGGAATGGCTTCCATTACTGTCGACATGGCATCAGACCGCGCCGCAAAACAAAACAAAAATAAAATCAAATTTATTCGTTTTTCCGTTATATTAGCGTAATTCTGCGTGTACCTCAAACGTGAGTAATTAATCCTTTATTTACATAACAATATAACAACAATAAAAGAAATTGACGATATTATATCACAATTTTACCAAATAAAAAACAATTTATTACATAATACAAAATAAAACCATAAAATCATTAAACTACCCACACCCCTCCACTTACCTACGACTACCATTTAAACAATAAATTATGTCCCAAAAAGGGGGAAGAATCGATACAAAATTGCGGCTGCAGCCACGCTTTTGTTGATCTTAAATCGATGCTGCTCATTTTTGAACACAATCCTGGAGGGGTCTTTGATAGCCAAGCTCGAGTCGTTCCTCATTCTCGATGTCTTCATTTATCTCTAATGGAGCTATTAAGCTGAATGGTCGACTCGCTGTATTAATATCTTCTCGTGAAGTGGTTGGACCAGTTGAATTTTTCCGATTGCGAATAATCTTGTTCTCTTATTGATAAGGTTGACAAAACGTAATATGTACGGCATTACTCGAAGCCTTTCAAGATTACTGAATATTTTATAATCTAGTATAGATTGTTTCCGTGCCGTTTTTGACATATATATACGCAATACATGTATCCGTTTATATTTTTCCAATTCACTGTCCTCTGTTTTTTGAATCTGTTCATTTCTTTGTATATCGTAAGTATAAATTTGCTGCGTATGTACCTGCTGAAGCATCGCAGAAGCAGTGTATTCCTACTAATTTCCCTTTAACTTGTATCTGGCGGGGAAAGGTGATAGGTAAATTCCCAGTGTTTAATATGTTTTCAATGGGTTATTGTAAATCGGGCTTCAGTTGGTCATACCATTTGACATTCTGTTGCCATAAGTTCTGCAGTTGGATGGATCTTCAAGGGTAATAGTATAGGTCCATTGCATCCTAGTGGACCATATATCGAAGCAACATATTGTAACAGTTGTCGTTTAGTGGCTGGTACATGACTTGAATTCGGAATCTGTATCGTAAATGTGTCTTCCATATGATCCTAGGCAATGCCTAGCAACTTCACATTTTCGGTTGCTGTGCTTATCTTATCTTCTATCTGTTATTTTCGTTGAATTGCTGATCGTTACTTAAGGATTGCAAAAATATGTTCATTTTCATATTTCCGAATAAGTTCTTTCGCTCTTTAAATCAGTGAGGTGCTTCTCCAGTATCTTTTGCAGACACCATAACATTGTCAACGTAAATATCTTTCAAAATCTGCTGGGCAATTAGTAAAGCAGATGTGCGTAGATGGTGGATTATTACTGCCGCTAATAAAAAAGGATCTGGTCAGTCCGAACGGAACCCGTGTAAAGTGATAAATCTGTAATTGTCTTTCCCTATTGGTTACGGATATCCTTTAACCATACGCCTATTAAATCATTGAGCAATACCAGACCCCGAAATAAATTGTCGTTTAAGGATGCATCATTTCCATCCTTTGCGCTCGCATCAAATACGATACGTAATTTTGTGCTCGTCTTTCCAGGCATGAACACTGGGTGATGTGGTAAATAAGAAACTGAATCGAATTTTGCTGAAGGTGGTTCTATCTTCATAATATTGTTTTGGAAGTGTGAGGTAATGATTTGATCATATTCCTCTAGTTTATTTTCGCCTGAATAGTTGCAGAGACTCTTAAGTACGCTCCTCGCTAATTCCTCATTCTTTCGGTCATTTCGTAGTGCTTTATGACCTTTAGATGGAATTTTTAAAAATTTACAGCAATCTGGTTGGGGCAGTTGGTCGACTGGACATTAATTCGAATGAGCACTCTGGTTGATTTTAGGAAACTTATATTCACAAATGGCTCATTGGCGAAGGATTTTCACATTAATAGGGAGCCAAACCAGAAGTGATATTATAGAAGAATATGTTCGAGTAAAACTATCTCGTGAACCTTTTCGAATAGGTTTTTTAGTAGCTGATTTATAACAGCCCAAATTTGATATGCGTTCAATTTTTAAGGTTATATAGCTGGAATAGGCGAAATAAAAGGGAAAACTTATCTAAGAAGAGTGATTCTGACTCTGAATTTCCAAGTTACCAATTTCCAATAGTACCATGGCTCTTATTATGAAACCAGTTTTCTGAAGTATTATACTAAGATGTGATAAGATCAGCTATGAAACTGCTGCCTATTTTTGAAGATGAATTATTAATTGCTTTCGAGAGGTTGCTTCAGTTATTTTCTATCCAACCGTCTTATCATGATCTGATAATTAATCGCCTTACAAGATGACAGATGATAGATAGATAATTGTTTGTCGAATAAAGTGCACATAAAAGGCTTTTGTTATTCTTCATTGAGTATTTATTTAATTCGGATACTTTCAGTATTACAAGTACCTTAAAGCTCTATAAATATGCATTTTTAATGCAAATATGCTTGTTCAGCAATGCATGCAATCATACACCACGGGAAGATTTATTTGTCTTTATTGCCGATTTTACTTAAAGATTGTTAACTAAGGAAAGAGAATGTTAACCAAACAAAATATATGTTTTTTTTTCATTCTATCAGTTATACCACAATCGGTTTGTCAATTTTAAGCAGAAATTCTATCACTGAATTCCAACGATACGTTACAAATAACCTTTCGATAAAAAAACTTATTTTCGAGTGGAGTATCATCATTTTTGTCATTTTGCCATATGTCATTTGTCATAAATTGCAAAGAGATAGTCCTACATAACTATTTTCGATTCGATTATTTATTGCTTTAATGCACACCATAAAATTTTGCTGCTCGAAATACTAAGAATTTTATTGAAAAAATTATTTGAATTAACCGTCGATTCTCTATCAACTGTCCTTCTCTGTCTTCCCCATAACTTTTCTATTGGTCTTTTGAAACTCATAATGAAAAGTCACAAAATCTTCACAAAATCTCTAAATTGACAAATTTCTACAATATATATTTTTTGACGCTCATTTTAATATTTCTTAATATTGTTCTCTCAAAATAACCGCTGAATTAAAGCTAACCTTATGGTTTTTTCTTTCATGTTACTCGGATAAATTGCCTATTAATGGCATTGTTTCTACTCATTTTTCTCAAATATTAGGTTTTATTAGGTAATATCAGGTTATTATTATAAATTATTATTATTATAATAAATGTTGACGGTGTCCACGTACAAAAATTGTAATTCGCTTTTTTGTCGTAATCTGTTGTTTATTATTATCAATTATCTATTAATTAATTATTAATTCATATTATTATCAGCCATTATTACTACCAATTATTATTATTTATTATTGTGCTATCATTATACTTTTATTATTATTGTTTTAAATATTGACGTTATGCAAATACAAAAATATTAGAAAGCGTAATTCGCTCATTTGTCGTAATTTATTATTATTAGTTTATTTGTTATTAACAATTATTGTCATCAATTATTATTCATTATTACTAGCATTATTATCATTATTATTGATGAAATCCATTTACAAAATGTTAGAGAGCATAATTCGCTCATTTGTCGTAATTTTTATTAATTTATTTGTTATAAGTTAATATTTTCTAAGTGCAATTAATTATTGGTACAATAGAATTTTTCTTTAGCGCGAGCATGGATCATGGAGCATGAGCACGACGAACAAATCTATCATTAAAAATTCGTTTATATTTTTATTTCCAACCGTTCATGAACAGGAATTTCTCAGGTGCTAACAAAAAATGGAGCGAGCCTTACCACAGCGAAATGGCACTAATCGCTTAATCATGTGCTTATACATAAAATTTCATAAATTTCATTTCAATCATAAAATTTCATTCTTTTGCCTTGTCCTCTTTTCTTGCGCTATAGACCAAATAAACTTTCAACCCTTTGGCCTTTGTAAAGCACTATTGCAGTTTTTTTTTTAGCCAGGTATCATTGCCAGTTGGACTAGTATTTCCGTTGTTCTGCTCGTCTAGCACTATTTTAAAATTCAGATTCAGCAAACTGAGAGCGTTTTGAAACAAATGGACGGAATTTATCAAAATTCAAATTGTTGTGAAATGAACGATAGATGCAAGTATGAAATAGAAGTAGCTTCAGAAATAGCTTATAGCTTACAGTTCACAGCTTTATTTTTATCGAAAGTAGTTTTTCTATTACAAGTGAAACGCAGTTGCTCGGAATCCGATTATCAAAGCTTATCTAATATTTAGATTCATGGTTTTTTACGATTGTTGAGACGAAAATTCATTATGAAAATACTGATTGTATGAAATTTCACAGTCTTAAAGTATTGAAATATGCTTGAGATTCCACAGTTGATAAGACTTAATTTTTATCTCTTATAACATTATTATTACGATTTACGAAATATGAAAATACGAATTTCATCACGAAAGCGGTCTCTTACAAACGACATAAGTTGGTATACGCCATATTATGTGGCATCCAGCATCATCCCATTCTCCCATATTACCTCTGTAATTAACTAGCGTACATCCGGCACCACCACAACATCCATCTGGCTGCCCTCGTCTATAATTCGTAAAGACTACAGGCGATCCATCTTCCCAATTCGAAGAGAAGCCTGTACGATGATATCCAATCCAATATGCAGCAGCGCCGACCAGGCCTAAAAAAATGGTTTGTTGAATTTGCCCAACAATTTGGAAAATGGAGAAATGATAAGAAGATACCATTTACCATTTACATACATAAACTTACATAAACTTACCATTTACATAAGTCATTTCTGCCATTGAACCGATCGATGTAACTGTCCCACCAAGCCTACGGCATTCTGCGCTAGCTGTGAAGAAATTGTATGAACTACGACCCTGAAGGCTCATATGATAGATAAATGAAGAAGGATTGAAGTAAGAAAAATCTGATAAAAAATTTTATGAAAAAACCTACAACATAATAGCATGCATTAAACTGTCCATTAAATATCCATGGAGAGGGACATCCTAAAAGAATTTTTTATAAATCGACCATATAAAACAAATTGTCTAAGAGTGTTAAATAAGAAAGCAAGCGCTTCAATCAATTCATTTTCATGTAATTTGATCGCAAAAAAAATAGACAATAAAAAAATTGCGACAGCTATTGCAATCTCGCAGAAAAAAAAACCTCCAGCACCTGGTCTTGGTGTTGCTATTAGAGGGTCCGGAAGACATTGTCCATTAACGCAAACCATTCCTGCTGGACAAGTAGAACCGGGACAAGCTTAAAAGTGGTAAATATACGCTTTCTTATTTTAAATGAGCGGGAATGAAAAATAAAGAGTAATATTATTATAAAAGTAAAACAACAAAACACATACCTCTTGTGTCCCTTACACATTTATTAAGGAAACAATGTTCAAATACTCTGCACTGAACATCGCTAGTACAGTCTGCAATAGTGCTTTAATTTAAATTGAGTACGGAGTCATTTACCAGGTAAGTCAAAATAAATGAACTCAATAGAATAATTTCAGGTGAACTTTTAACTGGAATTATTGCGATTTATCATTTTTATACGCTATTATTCGGAATTTTTAGCTTTGCCTCAATTAAAGGCAAACGGTAAAAAATCCGAGTTGTTCTCACAAATCAACTATTTCCATCTTAAAGTGATTCAGTGAATGGTAATAGAATTGCTTTTATCACACAAACAGCAAATGGAACAAGGCTCTTAACTAGAATTGCTTAAAAATGAGAGTGTTGATGGCGAATTATTTGTACTTCCATTGTCAAGGGACTCCCTGGTATATTTGCCTGCGCGATAAGGCAACGGAGTGAGTCCAACCATTAATGGTGAACATTCTTTTAAAAAAATCGAAGTGAATACCTGTAAATGAGCTAAAAGGATCATTACGGCGAGCAACAAGTGCATCCAATTCCCTAAGCAAATCCTGGTCATTGGGCCGCTGCTGCCCTTGTGCTGGCGGCAGTAGCGGTAATTGCGGTAGTAGAGGCAGCTGCTGCAAAGACAAATCAGCAGTGAAGCAAAGAAGAAGTAAGGTCAGCATTCAGTCAAATTCAAGCAATTTTGTTCCTGTGTTATTGCGGATGGCTTTTAAATCAAAATGGCATGTAACTAAAAAAGCTTTGGTGCATGTTTACACTTAGGTGACATGCACATAATCTCTTTCAGAAACTACAATACAAGAAAAAATTATTTTATATTCAGCGAAAGAAAATTAATCGAGGTTTTCAGTTAATCGAATGATTTGGTGAAAATATTTTCAAAGTATCGATGAGTCGCATTTATTTATCAAAAAAAGGTTGAAAATATGAAACGAAGGTAAAAAATATTCATAAAATTCGTATCCTTTAAACATTAAAACGAATTGCAATAGTAATCCATCTGATTGATAATTTTTTAATCCCGAAATATCGCCGATTAATGCGATTTTCATTTTCTCATGGCGTACATTGCTGCTTTTATTCGAATAAAATCACTGCTTTGTTCATTCTTGATTCCATTCTAAAGATTTGGCATTAACATCTGTGGTGCTCTTAAAAATTGGTTGATTTCTGGCCAGGAATAGCCCTTTCCTTCTGATTTGGTCATCTTCTATGGCGATCAACGAGCGGTCCAATCTACACGTCGAAATATTATACTGCCATCACACAACTATTCAACCTTGCTTATTATATTAAACTTTGCTTATTATATTATATTATATTAAACTTATTTTTACCTTGGACTTTATATTTGTACAAATTTTTTTGTGCATATTTCTAACTTAGAGAATTCCCACTGCTACCGATAGGCCCACAGACCTATTTTTTTAATCTATTTTTTTTGCGAAGTACAGCTATTGGGATGTTAAACAATCTGCATGCCAAAATATTAAAGATTAGCAATAGGGTATGAACCTTGCGTCATATGTACTTTTAATTCCCTTTTAATGCACATACATTTTCATTTAATATTTTTAATACTAATGCGCTTTTCTGAACATTTTGAATTGGTCATAGTACAGATAGGATCGTTCTTTCTCCTTGTAGTGACACCAATGTGGTACTTTGGAACCATTGCCAAGGAGAGAAATTTAACGAAAAAATTGTCCTTAAAAAGTAGAAAGTAAAGAAACAGAAAAGTGGTTTACTCGTATATCTGTGTCGCTAAGATATTCTTCTATAATATCACTTCTGGTTTGGCTAGCAATTAATGTGAAAATCCTTCGCCAATGAGCCATTTGTAAATATAAGTTTCCTAAAATCAACCAAAGTGCTCATTCGAATTAATGTAGAGTCGACCAAGTTGCCCCAACTAGATTGCTGTAAATTTTTAAAAATTCCATCTAAAAATTAAAGTGGAAATTTTGCTTGCAACAATATTTTATTTTATTTGTTATTTCAATCATTTCAGAAATATCTTTTATTTTTTAGTGCTCAAATGTTGCTCGTATGGTTTTTTTCGATTTTTTTGAAAACTTTTATACCATTTTTTTAGAAATTGTTTGAAATTTATGGCCGTAAAGATTAGACTGGATTCAATTATCGCAGAACCACGCAAAAAACTGCATTTGCCAGAAATGCCGGATTGTTTGAGCATAATATAATATATAAAAATAAGGTAGGATGGCTTAGTAGGATGGGTTGTTCAATTTGAAGCACCGATACTAAAGTTCCTCGTAGAAGTAAACTTGTCCGGAAATTCGGCAAATTCGGCTGATGCTGGCGACTCACCTGTGTTTCCATCGCCAAGATACTTTCTGGCATATTTGTCCAGTGCGAAAATCCAGCGGAGCGAGTTTAACCAGTAATGATAAAAACTCTTTAAAAAAATATATATATAAAAAGCGAAAAAATTTTAAATAATATTATTGCCCAATAAAGATGAATAAAAAAATTTCGCGACTTCCGTGCTTTTACTTTTTCGCATCATAGGTAATTTGAAAAAAGTTCTCGTTATGTCAGGAATGTTACGTTAGTCATAAGGAATAAGATTACGAACTTGCTGGGCGGATTTCCAGTGAAAATCTAGGCATAATGAATTTTGTCAGTTTCTTATCGGCCTTCTCTACCAACTCAGATTTAACAATAGAATAACAAAAGTGGCAAAGTATGCATTTTTGGCCAATGACAATAGATCATTGAAGGAAAATAAGGAAAAATGTGAAGCTTAACAGGATGTAAGGTTGCAATGAATAACAGTAATATATAATAATATATAACTGGAGGCATCAAAGTAATTGTTTGGAAAAGATGCTAAGGATTTTCACATAATATTATTTGTCTTTAAGGATCCGAACTCCGCTTGTCCACAGTAGCTCTGCTAATAACGAAGATTAATAAATTCTTTATCATCGCAAAAACTTTAACATCATTTAGTCCTTAATTCTTAGAGAAATTTTAAAGAATTTCTGATAATTCCTGGATTAATAGTCATTACTGTAATGTAACCGGCAGACGTTAGCCAATTCGCGCAGAATATCTTAATAATTTGTTGACTGAAACGTCAATTCTGAGCGGACAACGATAGATTCAAAATATTACACAAAGTTTTGAATCATTAATTTCTGGGCGAGCAGTTCTAAATCTTGTCACATCATTTCTTATAATTTTTTTATTAGAATCATTTTTAGATTCGCCTTGTGCCAATTCACCGTGAAGATCTGTTGTTGCTGGAAGGATTGAATTTCTGCTGGTCACTTTGAATACCTTAAACAATAAAATATGAAAAAAGTTGAGAATATTCAGTATTCATGCTTTTTATTATGACGGACATTTCGTTCATGTTGAATAAATAATTTGTAAATATTATTTATTATTTGATCCTAAAAATCTCGGCGACTAAACCTTATATTATATGATTTATGATTAAAATTTTTATTGCTAAATAAAATGCTTAATAATTTATTAAAGGTTGCGGAAGTGAGAGGAGTTTATTGAGCTCATTACGGATAAGAAAAAAAACTGTAAATCTCCCTCTAACCATATGCAATAGTTTCCATTGCTCTCTCGACCTGCTTTTTCTGAGTTCACCGTGTTTTTTTCCCTCATACAATTCACAGTAGCCATCCTTCGAATTATTTTCACCTGGATTATAGTTAACGATTTACGATATTGTCTGCAGAACGTGACAATAATTGATAAACATTTTTTTATTCTTATATCCAAGTTTAGGCCTTTAAGTTCCAGCTGAATTGATAAAGTACCTTGTGGTCGATCAATTATTTCCCAAACAGTTTTAGACCGATTACATTCCAGGAAAAAAGTATGCATTATACCTTTTCCTTTAACCTCAATCATACCACGGTCGCTGAACTCAAAAAATTTATTTGTCTGTTGTGCAGCTCTGAAAAAAAACAAAGTGGTATATTTTAAACGGTATTTATACCTGTGAATTTTAATATTTGCATAGAGCGCTGCAAATGTGTTTATCTATAATCGCTTCCCTTGAAGCGCTAAAATACTAAAATTTCACCAAAATTGGCAAAAAATCATTCATTAATAATTTGTTGCAAAAAAATACTTTTTTGTGAATTTGCTGACATGAATTCTGCATGGTAAACTATGTGATTCCATTTTATTGGCAATGTTCACAGTTTCACCAAAGAGACAATACCTAAAATCCATAAAATTCATAAATAAAATTTGAAGAACAATTATTTAGAACTGCTTCTCAATCAGAGAAGAAAAAGCTGAGCGATAATGATATTGACAAGCGATAATAATAATAGAAAATGATACTTGGGCATTTTTATTCCGACTACACCAGCAACCACTTCACCTGTATGTATACCAACGCGAATTTGTATGGCATTCCCTGTAACTGGATTTAGAACTGTTTTAGATTCCATTAAAAGTCCAATAGCTGCATTAAGGACTCTCTCGGTATCGTCTTCAGCTGACTGTGGCACACCACCACCGATCACGTAAGCATCACCAATCGTTTCTACTTTATAAACGTTGTGCTAAATAGCTATCATAATTCATTAAAAATTTGCCATGAACTTCATTTTTCAATTTTTCAGCCAAATTTTATCATTTTCAATGAGTGCTTTGCTAATAAATCGAGATTTTTCTCGGAAAATAGCAAAAGCAACAAGCAAATATAAACAAGAAGAATTATAGTACGAGAGCAACAATCCGATCAAATTTAACGTAAAGATCATTGAGCATCATTACGACATCAAACGGTGTGCACTGCGCGCACATATTAGTGAATGACACGATATCAGTAAATAGAACTGTCACTTTGGGGAAGTCACCTGAAATTATCACCTGAAATTATTCCTTTATTTGCTGCATATTCATTTAAAGCAAATTGAATTTTGAGAAAGAACAACCGAATAACAACCAGTAATTTCAGTTATTAAGCGAGCAGTTAATTTTCAATGAAGATTAAAATTATAATTTTCTGCAAGTAAATGGGTTTTCCTTCTCATAATTATAAATATGATTTAAAATTTCTGGAATTAGTTAGGAATCTTACATGCTTCAAAGGATTTTCCATGCCTAAGGGCTTCCACGACAACATATGGCATAAGCTCACACAATAAATCGTCTGTCTTCTTTTTTTCAGCAGCTAATTGAATTCCCAAATGTCTTGCCGTATAAGTTGATTCTTCAAGCATTTTACTGAAATTCTGATGCAGTAAATTGCAGAAAGATGATTTCAAACTTAATTCCATTCTTTCTGGGAATTCCTATCTTTCTTTTGATCAGTTATGGTATCCGACTGGGAAATGAGTTGAATGCAGATTAAATGAGAAAAGAAATTGCGCATTTTTCCGTAATTTACGAATATTATGTGATTATTGTCGCAAAAGCATGATTTTACTTGAGAGCAACTTGTGCCAGTCTGGTCTGGTTTAGCATTATCAAATCTCTCGATCTATCATATAGTTGCATGCCACTAATATAGAGATTTTGTTCAGCTAACTCCTTGATAGTGGAATCATGAATGAACAAAACAGTGATTCGAATAAAAGCAACAATGAGCGCCATAAGATAATAAAAATTGCACCATTAATCGGCGATATTTCGGGATTAAAAAATTATCAATCAGATGGATTACTATTGCAATTCGTTTTAATTTTTAAAGGATACGAATTTTATGAATATTTTTTACCTTCGTTTCATATTTTCAACCTTTTTTTGATAAATAAATGCGACTCATCGATACTTTGAAAATATTTTCACCAAATCATTCGATTAACTGAAAACCTCGATTAATTTTCTTTCGCTGAATATAAAATAATTTTTTCTTGTATTGTAGTTTCTGAAAGAGATTATGTGCATGTCACCTAAGTGTAAACATGCACCAAAGTTTTTTTAGTTACATGCCATTTTGATTTAAAAGCCATCGGCAATAACACAGGAACAAAATTGCTTGAATTTGACTGATTCGGCAATGCTGGCCTTACTTCTTCTTTGCTTCACTGCTGATTTGTCTTTGCAGCAGCAGCAGCCGCCTCAACTACCGCAATTACCGCCGCTATTTCCGCCAGCACAAGGGCAGCAGCGGCCCAATGACCGGGATTTGCTAAGGGAATTGGATGCACTTGTTGCTCGCC